ATAATTGATTTAAAACAAATTAAAAATTAAAAAAATTTACTATGGAATAAAAAGAGTAAAAACACATTATGATATCTATCAAACCCAGGAAAAAAATTCCTAAATTTCAATGCTTAGCCTATCCCAGATTCATCAATAATGCATCCAGGGATCGAATCAAGCATCAGAAAAACCGTAACACATTTGGGGTATTCCTTGTTTTAACAGACAAACCAAAGCAAACAAAGAGTAGAACTGAAGAAGAAGACGAAGCAAGCAAAGTGGGGATAACTTGAAATGCTAAAAATAATAAATAAATTTCAGGCTTTGAGCTGCAACCTCTTACCAATCAGAATAACGTGGCCCAATAAAAGTGGAAGTGTTGGCCGGAGAGTGCAGAAGGCGAGTGCCCCTAGCACTCCTCTTCAAAAGACTGTGACCGGCCTTATCTTACCTTCGACCGGTCGAGCCGGTAGAAAAGATTGTGACCGGTGACAGGCGGTATCCTTGTCCTTGGTTAAAAATTGACCGCGGTTGAATGATTTTTACTCGCAGTTTTAACGATTCTTGGGTTAAGTCCGGATTCCTATAGAGAGAGAAAAAGGAACGCAGAACGAAAAAGGAAGAGAGAGACTCGTCAGCTCTACTGCAATTGCTTTTTCGACAGAACTCTGGCAATGCATGTGCTAGTGTCCTCCGGTTACCGCGCCCTCATTGAGAGAGTTTGTCTTTTACGTCCCTCGATGCAGGAGGGAGGGGTCTTCGAAACTTCACCAAATTGAAAGCAGGGGGACGAAGATGATTTTGGTCATGACAGGGGCAAATTAGTCCTTGCAACAGAAAATTTTAACTTCTGTGTAGTTTTATTATCATTTTCCTGTATCAGTAACAATTAGGCCCACTACTTAAAAGTAAAAAACAGCTGGAATGCACGGAGTCGATTTCATTATCAAAGATAAAAAACCATACGCGCAACTGGACCTCCCTGCATTATTAATGCTTGCAATAATTCACCACCTCCCATGGAATACAGACGTGATTATAGTCCTTTTCCCATTGCTTTTGCTTTTACTTTTTGGTTTCTTTTCTTGGGTAAAGAAATTGCTTTTTGACTTTTGGAAACCAAGGCGCCTTTAGTCAAATTTGGCTTTCTCCGAAAACGAAAAACATATCCGCAATCCGCGGGTAGGGATAAAAAATATTAATTGTTGTATTAAAATAACTTATTCAAATAACCTTTAAAAGATAGATGTAAATAACTTTAATAAATTATACCTCATATTAAACTTTAATTACTCGGTATTTTATGTTGTACTTATTATTTTGATGATTACAAAACATATTTAAGTGATTAATCAATTTATTTAAATATGTAGTTAAGTTGTTAAAAGATTACAAGTAAACTTAGATTGCACTAAAAATAGACCAAAAAGATTCAAAATGTGCAGAGAGCCGACTCTTAAAAGCTGCAGCCGGCTCTACGGGCAAAAATTTGAAGATAGTTGCTTGGCGTGCGCGGAGAAAAGACGCAAAGCCGACTCCAACTTTAAAACTGGCTGTGAGAGTGCATTTAATGCACAACGGTCAACTCATTTGAAGATTTTTTAATGAATTTAAAGTCGGAGTTCTAAAGCCGGCTCAAAGTCTTGCAGCCGACTCTCGAGGAAAACAGAATGACCTGCAAACCCGGATAGCCGGCTCTGGAAGTTTAAGCTGGCTCTTCAGAGCCGGCTTTAGGAAGTTAAGCTGGCTCTTCAGAGCCGGCTTTAGGAAGTTAAGCCGGCTCTCCTGACAGTTCTGCAACTCGAGCTTTGCGTCCTGCAGAGCATTTAATAACCCTCAACGGCTAGTAACGGCTATTTTCGACCATAGGGTTATAAATATGAGTGGTAGAAGATCTGAAGTAGGTTAGAGAGTATTGTATTGAATATCTTTACTACCATCTTGTGCTTTAACTTGAGATTTTGATCTTTGAGAGATCTTTATTTGTAATTCTCTTCTTGTGCTATTAGTGAGTGATCTTGGGGATGTGTTGATTCCTTCAAGAGTGATCTGTAGAGAGGATATTTGGGGTTAAAGTGTAAAGAGGTGAGATTTGAGAGAAACCCTTCTTCTTGTAAAGGATTGAGTGGTTCCTTTAAACCACCATTGTTTTTGTCAGTGGAGAGTGTGGAGGAAATCTTTGGTGAGTGAAGTCAAGGTAGAAGATTAAACTCCAAGTGGTTGGACCAAACCTCTATAAAATCATTGTGCAAGCTCTTCTTCTCAACTCTCTCTTTAATTTTTATTTGGTGGTTGCAAAGAGGTGAAAATTTTTCAACTCCAATTCACCCCCTCTTGGAGTGCATTGAGTCAACACTTTATAAACATGACAATTTATAAGGGACTATAAAATTAGTTAGATTAAAAACTTGAATATTCATGTGTTTATATATATATGAAACGGAAACCTTTGCCAATTAATCCTTACTAAACCTTTTTACAACAATTGCAAGACTCTACTTCCTTGGCGTAGGCTCCAATTGATATACATCCAATTGAATAAGTTATTTTAATACAATAATTATAAAAAATATATTTATTATATTTTTAATTTTTTAAAATATAATTAGATAAATCATTAAAATATTTTTTAATTTTTAATTAAAGATAAATATAATATTTATATTTACCTATAATATTTAAAAAAATAAAAAATAAAAAA